AAGTTACCAAATTATGTCTGTTATATGCTGATACGCGTTCTGATTCCATAGTTAGCAGCACGAAATGCAAAAACTAAAAAGGATACGCACCAATAGTTTCTCTGTGTCAGCTGTACGTTATGGTGTTTTGGGCAGTTCTGAATTTTCCAGTGCTGTTTGCTCAGATCCATGGACCCAGTGTTTGCTCGTGCATATAAGTGCAGTGGAATGAGCAAACATTAAGATCGATCTTCTCATGCAAGTACAGATAATGATCTGGAAGCAAGTACTTAGACCAGATGAATAAATTCCTCATCAGCTTCCAATAATTTGAATTAAAAGTTGTTTTGCATGACTTTGCAGATTAATAAGCTATAAATGAGCATTTCGTTCACCGTGAATAGGAGATATCTTGGAATGCGAAACAAGCAGAAGGCGACGAAGAGAAGACGGCCAAGAAAAAAAAATGGGGTAGAAAAAATGAAGAAAACAGAAAGAAGAATCAAACGGAACAGAAGTAAAAGAAGAGGATGATGAGGCTGAGAAGACAGAAAAGGATAGGTAAGTAAGAGAAGATGAAAAATAAGAAAAGGAGAGACGAAGAAAGAAAGGTAGAAGAGGAAGAAGGAGATGAAGAAGCAAAGAAGAGGAAGAAGACAGAAAAAAAGGAAGAACATGAAGAATGCGAGTGAAAAAGAGGAAGAAAAGGCGAAGAAAAGGAAAGATACAAGTGGTAGGAGAGATTTAGGAAGAGGAAGTGGAACAAGTAGGAAAGGAAGAGGGAGAAAAGGTAATGAAAAATAAAGTATTGAAAGAAGATATAACAAAATGGGTAACTGTATGGAGCTTTTACGTTCTTGAACTGATGAAAATGCTGCGCACTGGTGATAAATGTAATCTGTGTCGTGAATGAAACAAAACTATGTTTAATAGTTGGCAAATTATCTGTATGCTTTAAAAAGCGTTCAGGCTGTATTATTCTAGCCAGCATTTCAAGTTGTGCATCGAATTTTAAAAAATACATGCAAGTTTGTCATCCTAATCTCTGTTAAGTGCTTTAATAGATCATTGCTATAGAATTTTTATATAAAAACGCAATTTTAAAACGTTTAGAACTCACTCCGATCCCGGTTTACACGCCAGTGCAGGAATAAGAGGCGCAGAAGTGGCTGTGACTTCTGTGCCTGTCGCCGGTTCTAGTCAGCCGTGCACTCCTCCGACACCCAGTCCACCTCAGAACGAATCTTCATCTACCAGTACGTTCTTTCAATAGCCGTTCATTGCTCATCATTTCATTTTTAGGTGGTTCGCCCAGCTGCGAGACCTACTCGTCGTATTATCCCAGTCTGCAGGTACGCTTCTTTAGGTGTCGGCGCATGTTGCTTCATTTTTTACTCGTTTGGTGGTTTTCTAGGCTAGCTGGTAGTTCTGAAGCGTACTCGACGATGAGTTCATCAATTTTATTATCTTCGTTGTGTACAAAATATTTAACGTCATCCTCCATTAGGTATAGGGCGACTCGTGTACATTTGATCATTCTGCCTTTGGGAATAATTATATATGGCGGCCTCGATCCTTCTGGATTAA